GGGGGGGGGGGGGGGGGTGTTGTCGGGTCTGCAGACCTGGAGCAGGCAGAGCTATGGCCCAGGCAGTTTTATGCCCCTGTTGTTCCTGATGCGCCCAGTAGGGGGAAGCTGTACAGTATGAGCTATACGAACAGACAAGTCTAGAAACGACACGAATACGAGGTATGTTAAATAATCGCAAAAGTTATTATTGTTCAGCAATCCTGCAATTTTGCAACATTTATAATTACATGTCAATTAATTTCAATATGTCAATAGATAGGTCTATGTAATTCATATCGAGAGACCATTTCAGTCTCTCTTATTGTAGAATTAAACGTATCGATGGTCAGGTAGATGCAAGTAGAAACATTTGCATGTATGCTATTTGTTTTCTTTGTTTAAAGGACTTACACTTTTGTGTATGTGCTAGATATTTTGATTATTTCTTGCAGAATGGAAATGCCTGCATGAAACTCATCTATGAAGAGGCTCAAGTGCATGTATAAATCTTTTTCACATTATATTACATCAGCGGTTTGTAGTTTTTTAAAAGACTAGAAAGTTTCTTCATTTCATATATGAATGGCAAGTGGTAGTCTGCTTAATTTTTCCTTTTACTCTCACAGGGCAAAGACATATACACTGCCAACATGCATGTTGTTGCCACGTGACAAAAAACAGTAAAAATCCCCTAGCCTACTTTCCAGTGAGTACTGAATGCATAAATCATACTATTCAACATCTACTGTAAATCAGATGTAAAATAAAAAGTGTTCTTTATTGGTGTTATGTGTTTTTTAGGATATTGCTGACACGAAGGATGCCCTTGTGTTCCCTGCTGGGACACAAGCTGCTGGCCCAGACCATTATCTGTTATATGTAAGATTTTACATGGTGTAGCTCATAGGAATATAATAATTATTTAACTTTGTGGGAGGGAGGGAACGGGAGGGAGTGTTCTTTCATGCTGGTTTTACATAGAGGTGATTTTACGCCAATATCATAAGGCAAAGATAATGCAACATAACACTTTCTATACTCCCTAGCCACAACCATTGCTTATGCATCCCTATAGGTACTGAAGCCACTCTTTAGAGAGATCCTCCTACTAAACTCCCTGTATAGTTATCAAAGTCTGGTTTTGGAGATGACAAGTACAGGGACATCTTTAGGTTCACAGCTAAGAGACGATTGCCACGTTCCTATGGCATATAATGTAGACAGTACGCCCTCACTGTGCTGGACACGCCATTCAATTTCCCTCAGGTGAGCTTTTCTATTTTCCTCCTTAAAACGTTGTTATAAAGTTGTTGTACTTTGTTGGTCATTGAGTTCTAACAATAAGAATTGAATACTAATCCTGTAACATTTCAATTTCTGTTAGATTTACATTCCTGCAATCAGGGAGTGTCTATGGTATCTATGTCTAATTGACCGGTTTGAGACAGAGGGGTATGTGTACTAGGTTCTGTAAATCTCAGTTTAGCGTTTTATTCTTGAAGCTCCTTCCTTGCCAATGGAGGCATCACAGCACAGATGAAAAAAGCAATAAACCATCAGCATAGCCATAAGGTACCAATCATACCATGTCATTGTTTTTCATAATCACCTCATGGCAGTACTCACATTTCTATTCTTCATAACCTACATTCAAACTATTTAAATGAAATTAAAACATTTTAATTATCAATCTACCTGTTAATTGTGATTAACTAGAGTTATCCTATTGGTGGTCAGCAGATTAGATTTTTTTATCACTTTTGAAAGGCAAGGCAGTGGCCAAAATAATTCAAAGTGGCTTTACACTTTTCCAAGCTTTCCACCAAGACAGCGCCTGTGCCTGTATACATTGAAGATCAGGAGCAGATTTAAGCAATTTACTCTCACCTGACTTCCATTCTGGACAGTACACCCACAGTGACGAGATCAAATTCATTATGGATGTCCTTTTTCCAGAGGTAGGTCTTATGTGTTAGCTGTGCTCTGCATGATGTCAGATTTACATTGTTTTTAATGTCAAATAGTTTATCCATAATATGAGACCATTGCTCTAAAAATAATTGTTTTTGTGGTTAATATAAAAGAGACACTTTTGTAGTAAAAAGCTAAACATGCGAAATGATACTTGGCTATTTGGCGTGTGATCCCAATTCCTTTTCTGGTAGTCCATTATCTGTGCCCTCGCTTTTGAAGAAAAACAGTCCATCCTGGAGGCTGAGGAGAAATTTCTGCAAGGACCTGTCATTTAGATAAGGTATTGTAAGGATCCTATAAAAGGAAAACATGGTCAAACATGGCATCCTGCCATTATTCATAAAAAAAAAAAAAAATTCTACAATTATCCAAATGTAGCTTTTTTTTATCATCGAGTGGAAGCATTTTGACAGGAGGACTGAACAACAATTAAAGAAGAGCGGCAAGAGAGTCATCAACGGGAGTCATCCCAGTTCATGTTTTTAATAGGGTTGTGACCGTGACGAAAGTTTCCCACCGGTTAATCGACATGTGACAACACCGGTAATACCGTTATCACCGCGGGGGCATTCCCTCTTTTCCTTTCCTTTAGCTTGTAAAAGCGGTGTGCGCATTTTACTTTCACTTTCAAATAGCGTCAATTCGGCGTAAAGCAATTTTTCGTTTTTAGTTCGGTTGAATTTTCCCTCTTTTCCTTCGCTTTTAAATAGCATAAAAGCGGTGTGCGCATTTTACTTTCACTTTCAAATAGCGTCAATTCGGCGTAAAGCAATTTTTCGTTTTTAGTTCGGTTGAATTTTCCCTCTTTTCCTTCGCTTTTAAATAGCATAAAAGCGGTGTGCGCATTTCACTTTCACTTTCAAATTAGCGGCAATTCGGAGTAAAGCAATTATTCGTTTGAATTTTCCCTCTTTTCCTCGCTTTCCTTCACTTTTAAATAGCTTAAAAGCGCCATGCGCATTTTACTTTCACTTTCGAATTAGCGGCAATTCGGCATCAATTGCTTGAATGCAACAACAAAAATACAATGTCAAACTCACTTTAGCGTTTATATAAAACATAGAACTTTTATTAACAAAACAAATAAAAATACACCAAGCTATAGGGCAGGCTATGCCTAATATAAAATAACAAATAACTTACATAAAGTTTAAATAGGTATACAAAACTGGAAATAAGTAAACATGTATAATATATAACCAAATAAATAAGAAACGTAGAACGTTTATCAGCAAAACGAGTAAGAAAGCTTGGAGGCACGGCATACACCTTGATGCCAAATAAAATAAATAAATGACACAAAGTCAACAATGTGGAACCAATTAAATAAGAAACGAATGTTTAAAAAAACCTTCTAAAATCAGATAAAAGGCAAAAGTCAACAGGCTTTTCAAAATCCAAAATATTGCCAAACAGGCGCTTTTGCATTTCATTTCGAAACTAAATCATCCGCGATCGTCTTATCTGTCTCACCACACTCTTCTTGTCAGTCAGCTCGACTCACTCTCCTCACTGGATAAGTGAAATCTGATCTGTGATGCGACTGTCGTTCAGCATGCTGCATTGAGCAGCCGCATTCTGTTTTTAATTGTAGTGTCTGTTCTTTAACTGAACGAAATGATTTTTATCAAATCATTAAAATTCAAAACGACGGTGGGGGTCGGTGACGCGGTAGGCAAGTGGCGTAACCGGTGTTGTGTCTTAACACCGGTATCACCGTCAGCACAGTCTATCGCAGCAAGCCTAGTTTTTAATAGCCTAAATGGTGTTAATAAATAATATAGGTGTACACAAAAAAGTTTTTTTTTTTTCTTCTTAGATGGCTAAATGGCCCTTGGAATTTTAGAAAGGGGTGAATTGTTTGTCTTCATAAAATGCTATGTAGGACACTGTTCTGTAGCTGTACAACCAATAGTGAATACTAAAGCAGTTATTTCATTGAGGGTCCTTATGATTACACTATGTCTGATGGGCTAAATATGGTTAATATCTGAATGCAACTTTATATATAAATTCACAACAACATATATATCACTCAATCTCCTGTATATACGAAAACCTACAGTGAATATAATTAAGCTAAAGTAGATCATGTATCATTACACTGTCCATTTGTTTTGAAAAATGTAAATCATTACATTGTCCATTTGAATTTTTAAATTCACTAATTTAATGTGTAATGTTAATAAATGTGTATTATTAATTTATCAAAAACACTAATTCAATTGTCTTCTGTAGGCTATGAATGTAGACAAACATCTTTATATTAGTATATTAGTAGTTTAATATCAGAAAATATTTTAATCTGTAGTGCAGATTGTTACAATGTCTATCTGATATCTTAATGTAACATTTATATTTCAATTTAAAATATAATAATTAAAAAACACTCAATTAGTCAATGTCTATGGACGGGGCAGTTATTAATGTGCAAGTTTAGATTTAATGATTTCGCAATATATCCTCCTCCCCCTACTGGACACATCAGGAACAACGGGTCTAAAACTGCCTCGGCCATTTATCTGCCTGCTCCAGGTCTGCAGCCTCCCCATATAGATCCTAACAACGTAATCCTTCTTTAACATTTTTAACATGTGTTTTACCTGTGTATGTGGCTTCTTTGAACCCATAGGCAAGAGCGCCGGCTCCGATGAGCAGTTTCACACCCAGCCCAGCCCCTCGCGGGCCAGACCCCATCCTGCTGACAATCTGCCTCAGCTGCTGCAACAAACCCTGAGACAGACAAACACGTAAATTGAAACTTTTTGAGTATGTATTAAAATCGTAATTTAAATTTGAGTGACGTTGTCTGATATCGAGACAGCATATCTCATATTCTACATGCTTGATCCACCTACTAATACACGGGCACAGTGTTTAAAAAGACTAAGAATGAAAATGCAATGACATAGCAGTGAGAACTGTGTTCATATATACTTTAAAGCTGATCTCAAGACAGATTTTTGGAGTAGCCTACAAAATTATATGAAAATAGCTCATTTTTTTAAAGGGCTCTTAAAAAATGTTATTAAAGGGGTCATATGATGCGATTTCAATTTTTCCTTTCTCTTTGGAGTGTTACAAGCTCTTGGTGCATTAAGAAGATCTGTAAAGTTGCAAAGACTAAAGTCTCAAATCCAAAGAGATATTCTTTATAAAAGTTCAGAGTCAGCCACACCTACCTAAAACGGCTCGTTATAACACGCCCCCACATATCTACCTCACTATGTGGGAAGATTTGCATAACGCCACCCAAATGTTCACACAAAGAAAGAAGGCGGAACTTTTATTCTCGCTGTAGTATTGTTATTCGTCACATCCGCCGGGCACGCCGTTCTCGACTCCGCCGCCTCAGCTCACTCTATCCCGGCATCAGCACACGCTAAGCCGGGGCTTCGGCTCACGCTATCCTGGCCTCAGTGCACGCTAGGCCGGGACTTCAGCTCACACTAGCCCGGTCTCAGCTCACTCTATCCCGGCCTCAGCGCACGCTAAGCCGGGGCTCAGTAGAGTAGCACTTGTTGTTTGTCCTTTCTCCGATCACAAATGCAGACAGAGTTTTATGTTTACGTGGTGCGATGCAATGCAACGCAACACGTAAAAAGACAGTATAAGTCATTATAATCAGTAATTATGTCCCCACTGGATGCAACAAATGCCTTGTTTGTAATGGGTTTTAATGTTGTCTCGTCTCTCCGGCCGGGATATGGCATCAACAGTATGTGAGGGGCGTAACATTTCCGTCTCACGCTTGAGGTATTTGGCCAATCACAACACATTGGATAGCTGGCCAATCACAGCACACCTCGCTTTTTCAGACCGATGAGCTTTGTAAAAATCGACGCGTTTCAAAAAGGTGGGGCATAGAGGAGAAACAATAATGTACAGTATGTGGAAAATAATGTGTTTTTTTAACTTTAAACCGCATAAACATTTCATTACACCAAATACACAAAATAATGTTCTTTTTAGCAGCATCATATGACCCCTTTAATGATATTTGTGCAAGATGCCAGTAGCTTGCTGGAAATACTCCAGTGAATAAATTAATCAATTCAAGTCAGGGGTGTAGCCAGTGGATGGGCCCGCGGCCACTATGATAAATAGTCCCCTCCAGTTTATTATACAAATATAATATTTGTTAAATAATTGTTGTTTAATATATTTAACACAATTACAAAACTATTAAAATATCTCAAATACAAAAATAAATAAAATGTGTTTTGCATAATTCTTAATGAGTTTGATTGACCAATTAGGTGTTATCTAGGCTGTCTCAGGAATAGATATGTATAGGTAGATGCCTCATTTGACAGCTCCAAACACGTAGATGTGTCCACCATCTTGCAATGGTCAACTTGACATCATTCACCCGAAATGCAAACACAAGTCTTCGGATGGAAGATGCTCATTTTATCGCTTGTTTCCTACTGATGCGGAGACTCTGGATTCGTACCATAAGGTAAACTCATATTACGATTAGGCTTATTCCATGTAAACGCCACATTTATGGGCTTTACATGGTCAAGGTAAAAGTAAAACTTTAATTATGCATAGTGCTTAAAGCCACATTAAAATAAAATAGTTAGAAAGCTGAAAGATTGAGGATTTTCTATAAGCAAGGATAAAATAACATTAATATTAAACATAACACAAAAAAATTATAAGCTGAAATGTGGTACTTTATTAACTAAAATAAATGTAATCTTACCATATCCAAAAACTTGCTCACTCTGCTGTTATTTAATAGATTAAATGCACTAGAATTTTATTGAATACTATGTGGAGACACGTTTTTTAAATTAAAATATTCATATTAATCAAGGATTTATTGACTCTTAAGGCACTTTATTTCGAAATGTACAGCAATACATGATTTCATGTGCTTACATTCAATTTAGCTTAATTTCATTTATTCACTACTTATTATTTATTATTAATGTTTCATTTCAGTTTGGCTCTAGTTTTGTAATTATTCCAGTTTTTATTTGAAAAATAAAATTCATCCACAGAGTAAATCCTTTTCACTGAACATGTTTCTAAAAATATGTTCGAAATAGTTCGGAAGAATGGAGGTGGTGACGTTGAAGGCAAGCGACTGTGGTGTAGTTTATTTAAAGCCTAAGTTTAGCTTTTTAGTTCTGGTATTTAGGCTACAAAATTCATAAAAGTTATATTATTTTGTGAATATTATCTTGATGGACAAAACATATATAAGTATCATGAACTATGGTTGAACACAGAGCTTATTTTTTGCGATAATCCAAAAGCCTATGGAAAAATCCTATTGGGTTTTTGTCGAGTGAACCAGTGTGATGCTAACAGCCGATTGGCCTACAAAGTGACGTCATAGATCTACCACGCTATCGGCGGAAGTGAGAGACTAAGTTTTGAATGCTTATATCTTCTAAATGCGAATTTAGTTATTGTTTTGTTGCACACTAGCTTATTGATAACCTTAAGGCCCCTATATACTTCAAGCGAAATCGAAGAACGAACTGACGTGACTTCATTTTGAACAAAATTCAGGCAAACCGAAGTTTGTTTTGTGTTTGTTTTGGGAGTTCGAAACAGCTTGCCAAAGCCAAACTTTCCGGAACAGTTTGTTCCGGCTGCAAAACACCTTCGTACTACCATTGGTCCGTGACGATGATTATGTCATAGGAAGTGTGCGCTGAGGCTCCGCCTTCTTTCACGCGGAACTCTTCTCTTGGTACATTTCATCTGTCGAGTCCTTGGAAGTGAGATATCTGCACAGTGGAGAGCTGCTTTATAGTAGCAAATTAAGTTTTGCTTTTAATGAAATGAGACACTGACACTGTTTATCATGTTTAATACTGCTGAATAACTCATCAGTTTAAATTATATTAAGCCTTAAAGTTCTGCATAATTAAGGGCGTGGCCACTTGAGTGACAGGTGGATTGCCGCTGCTGTCACCACCGTCAAGCTAGGTGGGCGTGGCTTCAACAACCAGCTCCCGCCTCTTTGCCCATTTTCGATTATCCGGGAGTGACGCATGGTGACGCGCAGCCAAGATGGCGACAACCGGCTCCGCCCACTTTGGGCTTCAAAAAAGCTCTTCAGAATTCAACGGGTGACGTCACGGACACTACGTCCATGTTTTTATACAGTCTATGGCTGTGAAGCAGCTCTTCCGAATTACCTTTTTTGTTTCATTTCGAAGCTTAAGTTGCATACGGTTTTCTTTAGTTTTAATTTGCCTAACTATCGATCTGACCCAGTAGACGCCATAATCCCACTCTGTCTCTCTCCCGTCCCGCGTTCCAGTTTTTTATTTATTTATTTTTTAAATGGTGGGTGTTTACGCAGTTGGCTAGAGCAGTGCTGATTGGGGAAAACGGAGGTGCGCTCACTCTTGCCCAGGGCAAGTAAGACTGCAGCTCAAGGCTGGCAGTCATGCATATGCTCTGGAACAGAGTAATATCGCGTTCACATCGCAGGCTTTGCGATTAGGAAATCGCAACGTCTCAAATCGTGATTTCGATTCTATTTCGATTTATCACACAGCCCTAATAGGTAGATGCCTCATTCGACAGCTCCAAGCACGTCCGCCATCTTTAACGGTCAACTTAACGTCATTCACCATAATAATCAATGAATATTCGAAGACGCCTCAATCCTGCACAGCGGTTTTCAAGTGGCAGTCTATGGAGCCATGGAATAAAAGAATTTAAAAAAAAAGGTAAATTTGATTTTATATTTCAAAATTCTGACTTTATTCTCGCAATTCTAATAAGGAAAAACAACTCATCATTCTCTCTTTTCCCCTCAGATTTGACAAACTCACTATTTTTGAGTTAAGTCAAGTTATAAAGTCCGAATTAGGAGATATAAACTTGCATTTGCAAGAAAAAAAGTCAGAATTGAGAGACAAAATAAATGTTACAGTGGGGCAAAAAAGTATTTAGTCAGCCACCAATTGTTTCTATAAAAATTATTTGCATTCCGATCTTGACATCAAAAGGCACAAAAAAATTTTTTTTTTCTTTTATTCCATGGATTTTACCCATTTATCTCCACTTGTTCCCAGTGTTTTTCTGCAACCACTATGCCCGCGCAGCTGCAAGTGATGTAACTGTGACGTCTACTCTAAATGGGTCTATAGAAACAGTCAGCATTCTGGAGATGTGCGCTCAAGCGCATGCCATTGCCTGGTCTAGCCTGAAAATTACGCTTTTTTGACAACTATTTGAGCAAAAGAAACAACATTTATGAGACAGTTGTTGTCAGATATCATTGGTGATTTCAAATCTGAAATTTAATCGTAAGCTTGGCGAACAATTTGATGTTTCCCCATTCAAAGAGATAGGAGCTGCACTTGCATGCCCGAGAGGCATTTCAAAGATGGCAGCTGAGTGAAATGACTTGTCTTAAAGTCACTTTGGTTGGAACAAGCTGGCGTTTGAACTTTTCTACATAAATTTCATCGATTTTTAAGCTCTACATTAGGCCTGTTGCAATAATCAATATCGACTTACAATATATGTACATGACCTCAATAATTTTTGGTGACACAATATATATATGTCACCTTGTTTTGTGCATTCCACTTGCTCCGGAGCCTTTTGCAGCTTCTCGTACATAATGTGTGTGTGTGTGTGTGTGTGTGTGTGGTTACATGCCACTTGTGAAAACACATGAGAGTAACATGAACATATCAGG